ACACCTCCCATAGCTCAGGAGTATCTCCAGCTTCTGTCAGGACCTAGGATTTCCTTTGTATTGTCTGCTCTTCTTTCATTTTGACTTTTTTTTAAGGCTGAGGAAGGGTGGGTCTGCCCTAAGTGCAGTGCTGCAGCAGGAGTCATGACCATCTCAAGCAAAGGGCAGCACGTTCCCCAGACTCGGAGCCAGGCAGAGCGGGGATCAGCCCATGTCCTCCATGTCCTAGCCCGTTGTCCTCACGCTTGGATTAAACATGATTAAAATTGCTTGACTTCAGGTCTGTGTTAGAAAAAAAAATTAAGTCTTCCACATCTATGGTGGTAGTTGAAATCCGGTCCAGGACAATAGGGCCAGGAAGGGAATGTCCCATGGGAGCAGAGCTGCACAATGCTGCCTGGCCATGCTGTGCTCCAGGAGACTCTTTGCAGGTCGCACTCTATAGACAGCGCTTGGTGACCTTTTTCTTACTCTAAAGAGAGAATTAAGAGGGTGTTTATTTCTTTATTGGTGTTTCTCTCTTTTTTTTTTAATCTGATATCCTGGCCAATATTAATTTTAGTCATCAAATACAACTGTGGAACAGAGATTAATCATTATTGCCTTACTTCTGGGAAACGAGAAGTCAGATTAATGGCTTCACCTGTGTGAATTTGGGAATCTGGCATGTAAGTGGAAACAGGAATTAAATCTTCTCACTGTCCATTATCACATAGTATCGAGCATAAAATGCTTCCTTTCTAAGAAGTTAAAAACCTCTAGTTTTGGTCTGCTGGCTAGGTAACGTAGGCATTTATCCTTGTTACTCTCTCCAGCATCTGACTTCAGTGGCTAGAGTAATAAATTTAATCATAGGAAGGAACTAATAGAATTGTTCAAAACTACCACCTTGCATTTTACAATATTTTTTGGATCACTTAATTCATTCCTACCTGCACTATGTAAGCATGCAATACTGTAAAAGCAGTGGGAGAGGATAGCTTATGGTCTCTTGTGCTTGCTGGAAACTGTAAAGTGATGCAATTGGAATGCACATGGGAGAACAGAGCAGATCTTTTGTTTATTTTCCTGTAGATAGGACTGTTTCTTAAGGCCAATTCATAAAGACATGACAGATTCTTAGCATGAATAACATAATTTTTACACTATTAAGATTTCCAGTAGTATTAGATCTCTGCATCTAGAGAAATATTAGCCCTTTAGGGAGAAAAGCTTTTCTTCCTATGGTATTATCATCTACATATGTATGTGTCTATATACAAATATATTCATTAGTATTATGTTGATTAAAATTGATTAAAATATTATATGAAATAAAAGATAGACTAAACTGTTTTTTTCTACCCTTAAAATAATCATCTTTTCATAGTTGACTTCTTACAAGAAACCACCAGAAGTCACAAGAGGACATTTCAAACCCTACAGCCCACTATTTCAAAGAAAAGAAAAAGCCAGAGAGATGCCTGAAAACATTCGTCTCTATGAGCCCCATTGTCCTTTTCAGAGCAGCACAAGAGGTTCTCCACAGACTCCCCCTGGGAACGGGACACTGGCTGCTGATTCTTCTGAGCCTGAAGATACAGAAGGTGACATTGGGGCATACACAGGCCAGGGCTGGAAGGAAAAAAAACAGAAATATACTTCTGAATCAGAAGATTTTAACAGGAAGACAAAAGTGCTGCCATCTTTGAATTTGAAAGAGAAAGATGACAAAAATACAAGGCACTCAGAGGAAAAGTTTGAGCAACAATTAAAGGAGGCAAAAAAGAGGCTGGTGCTTTGTACTCAACAGCGACTTTTGTCGCATGATTCAAACAGAGTGGACTCAGCTGGAACCTGCCAGGGATATCGAAACGAAGGAGCTCAGGGGACTTCAGAGGAGAAGGATGCTGACTGGAGAAAAGATGTGTTCAAACTATCTGCTTGTCCTGTGCCTCTCTTGTTTGCAGATGATGCTCCGCCAGCTTTGCCAGTTGTCCCAAAAGACGCTCTGAGGAGTCCAGATGCAGTTGCCAGAGAGCACGCAACTGGTCGGCCAAAATCACCACTGAGGGTCATAGCCAATGCGATCAAGAGGTCCAATTTGGAGCCTCAAACATCATCTCCAGAAGGACTAAAGCAGGTCTCAGACGGCAAAGTCAAAGCCTCTTCAGAACAAGCTTTCTTCATCTTCCCCAGTACTGCTGCCTATTCCCTAAGCCAAAGGAACAGTAACAATAATAGAGCAAGTAACACTCGGCCACAGGAGCTTAAAGTAAGGGAGTGGGTAGGAGAGTATTTAGGAAATGGGAGTCCTCTCTCAAATCCATCTCATTTTTCTGTCGGCTCTGAAAAGAGCTCTCTAAGAGATTACAACAAGCAGGTATCCTTCTTCCCAGTCTACAGTCCTCATACCAGGCCTTCCAAGACTACCACTTTACCTCAGAAACCATCTTGCTCTAGGATGGAGGATGTCCCAGGACTCCTAGAAAAGTTTACCTTTAAAGAGACTCCTTCAGGGGCTCCCATGGATGACATATTTATCTGTAATGAAAAGCACCTCCTCCTTTCATCTCCAGAGCCCAAGAACACCTCCAAGGACAATCTGGATGACTCTGCACAGAAGGGTAGTCTTGGGTCTCTCTTTGATAGACTGAGAAGTAAAGTTCGTGACAGAGAAAGGAATTCCTTCTTGTCGTCTCTGCCTTTCATGAAGGACCGTTCTCCAGAAGACAGGCTACGTTATCCTTCCACAGGTGAGAGCCTGAGTGGAGTTATTTATTTCCAGCAATAGCACTTAACATTCAAAAGACCAGTGTGTGATCATGCAAACACATCTCTGTTGTATGCTTGATTTGATTTATAGCTACTTTCTACATAGGAAGGCTTAATAAATATATTTTTTTGGCTAAGGTTTAGGAGTTGCTTCTGGTTTAAAGGAGCAGAGTGGATTCACGAGCAGAGTGCAGCTTGCTGGACTCAAGTCTGGTCTGCTGCTGTAGGCTACCCTCGCTACCCTTTCCATCAGGAGCTCAGAGACCGGAGCGATGCATTTGCAATAGCAAGGAGCTTTGTTTTGTGCAGGTGCTTTCTGAGCAGGTGTCTCTTCAGCTGTGTTTGCTGTAGCAGTGACAGAACCGTAGACGTACTGTTGGGAGCTTTGTGGTGTCATTAATATCCCCTTGTTGTTTTATTTGGGAGGAGATAGTGCCTTATTGACCTGCTCTGACCTATCTGTGAGTCTATCCGAGCAGTGATTAAAAGACACCAATTTTCATATTTGCTTGCAAGAACGAGGTTAGTATTAAAATTGCAGATGAGTCTAAGAAATACTGATGTCAGACAAAGAGCAATCTGAGCATAGGCTCAGAATTAAGTGCAGCACAGTTTCAACTATAAAATATGAGATATGAGAGATGCACTCACCTGTCTTTCTCCGTGATCCATCTTTCCACTAGCCTACTGCAGAAAGTCCCAGTTAGTTAAATAACCTCTTGAATTTTGTTGACATACCTGCTTGTTTCTTACTTTATTAAATTACAACCCAAACTTGTAACCCCCAAATTGCTGCTATACTGCAGCATTAAATTAAAAATCTGTATGTAGAATGTGGAATCCCTGAAATTTTTCCTGTGGTCTGCCAGATCCTTTTTGCATCCTTTCTGCTTCAGAAGTACTGCATACTGTGGGTAGGATCTACAGTGTACAAGAGACTTGATCTGAAGCTCCTGAAAATTGATAGAATAACTCCTGTTCTCATTCCTGAATTTTTGAATTGGATTCTTGGAGCATGCTTTATCTAACAACTCGCAAAACCAGGCATCCCCACGGAGCCAGAGGATGCCAGGGACTGTACTGAAGCCACAGAGAGTTGCCAGTGTTCACACGTGTCACACTATGGTCTCAAACAGGAGGCTTGTTCTGAGTCTATACCTAGTCATCAACTAAGCCAAACTGACTTGCTCTTAACTAGAGGTATCGCAATAATTAGTATGTTGTATTACTGCTAAAATGGGAAAAGCTCTTGCTAGATTTGAATAATGCTATACTTTGTTTTAAATATTTTGAAAAACATGCTGCTTTAATATGTGCTGCATTCCTCTGCTCTGCAACCCTAGAGAGGAACTATTAAATTATTCTAACTATTGAGCACAGGCATTGCAAAGTCTCTTCAGAAGAAAAAAAAAAACGCAACTTTTATCTAGCCATTTGACTGGTAATCTGTCACCTTCAACTTTTCAACGTCGCAGCTCCCTGAACTTTTTTGAACACTCATATCTGAGTAAATCAAGCTGGTAAAGAGCCAAGTCCTGCTTGGCTCTCTAAATGGCATTTCTGTCTCACATTGGCACTCATCTGAGGCCCAGGCTTTGCAAACTTCAGTCATGAACTGATGACAAGTTTTAGTCCATATTACACGTCATTGTTTTTCTCTCTCTTGAAATTTACCATGAATGTCAGAAAATTTCTTTAAAGAAAAAAAAGTGCTCCCAATACCTTGCAGAAACCAATTTAATGAGGCTCTTTGTCCTATTTGAGACCAAACAGACTTGTTCTGTGCAAGTATGATTGGTCTTACATTATGCTAGTCTCTTCTCCCTCGATGGGCTGTTGGCTTGTGGAGCCAAAGAATGAGCTGGGTGATAAAAACCCACAGACTTGAGAAGAGACGAGGCAGGCTCACTGAAGAGAAAGCCACTGAGGAGTAACCAAATGCTTAGAAACCACTTGCAATTTAGAAAGTTCCTGAATTGAAAAACTCTTGGAGGCTAGGTGAGTGTTAAGAGGAGGAATCGTATACGACGGCCCAGTGCCTATAGCATTCTTTAGACATCCCCTGGAAGGACCTTCATTCTCACCACACACAACCACTTCTATGTTATGATGCTCTTCTTTCCAAGTTTCTTCATCTGCAAATGCACATCTAGATGTCTTCCTATGCTGATGACTTCTGCGTTTCAGACCCAGGTGTCTGTCCAAACTAAAACTGAATTCTGTCCTTCTGTCATCTCCTGCCAAGTGTTCAGCCACCAGCCAAAGCTCAGCATGAGGAAACAGAGGTCTTAATTACTCAGCAGCAGATTGCCTGTTGCTCAAACTTACGCCTACAGTTACAGCTTCCATATGGGTCATTCCAGCTCCTGGTATCCAGACCTGGTCTAAAGGCTTTCTGGCTAACAATTTCTTTCTGTTTTATAAGAGCTGCTCCTCAGAGCCACTTGGAAATTTTGGGCTGTGCGGAGATCTGGCTGCACAGATTACCTGTGTGATACCTGGGATAAATCTTACTGAAGCTGAGGGGGTTCATGCATTGATTTCAGTGACATATTGGTTTTTTTTAAAAAAAAAAACAAACACACCTATCTTAGTTTGCCTGTAGAATATACAAGTGTTCCCAAATAGCTATACTGGTGTTTCTAGGTGCAATTCCAGATTTTTTATTTGCTGTACAAGTATCTTTTAGGCTTTTGTTCTTTCGTTCCTACTTTTGGTTCCAACCTGCAGTTTAAAAAGAAAAGAAGTCTCCAGGAAAAGAAAAGAATCTCCCTCTAAATCTCCAGGACAATCAGCAGTGCTCCCGTGTCTAACAGAAGGTATCACCTTCTTAACCTCTTCATCTGACACTTCCCTCTTTCTTCAGAGGACCTCAGGTTTCCTAGGAAAACTAGTACCTTAGATTTGTATGTTAAGGGAGAGGTTCTCAAAAGCACTGGACTTTGGTCCAGTTGATCCCTCTGAATACAGCAAGGGTTTTACTGCTGATGGCATTCAATGGTGGAGTGCTTTGTCCAAAGCAAAGCGTCTTTGAGACACACCTTTGGATTATCAAGCTGTAAGGAACTGGCTGTAGGAAGGAATCTAAATTTTACGGATCTAATTTTTCTTATATCTTATGACATAAATACTTGAGGATACCAAGTACCAATATCTAGAATTGGAAGTTTCCTCCAACTTTGTACTTTGAAGCGTATTCTGTGACACTGTCAGATTCTATAACAATTAGTAATAATAATTATAATAGTTAATACTTAGTTTATTGTGTTTTGACAGCTGTAAATCGGATGTGCTGGAAAGGACTCTTGATCAAACTCCTGGTAGCTACTGTGAGGTAGAAATCAAGAACAGCTTAATAAAGATTTCAGAAATATTTTTTCCTTTCCTTTTTATAATTAAGAACTACAACTATGGCTGACTGTTCCTAGTGATCCAAAGTCATGTTACCTGGGGAGGAAAAGCTCTAGTATAACATGTGTTAATTTGGAAGTTAGGGAGATGCTAGAGCACTTAAGAAATAATAAATAAATAACTTCCATTTTAGAGGAATGAGATGGCCAGAGAGAGAAAGCCCAAGTCTAGAAGAGTTGAGTTAATATTTGGAAAAAAATGTATGTTTTTGAGATCTTTTCTATAGCTAACGAGCTTTAAGGCCTGACATATTTGGAGTAGACAAATTATTATCTAACTTGACTATTGCAGTTCTAAATTTCAGATTTAAATGACCCAGTAAGTGTAAAAGTCCCTAAGTTGAATTTTTTTATGTGTGAACTCCTTGTGCAAATCCTTACAGCTGGTGGCTTAATTCTACCTATCCCATCCCTTTGGAGATGGGAAAGATGAATGCTCAGTCATCTATAGTAGAACATACAAATGCTGTAGTACAGAAGAGTGGATTTATTGGTTGTTGTTTTTTTTGTTTTTCAAAACTAGAATAAACTGGTGGTAGTTTTCTGTAGCTCTGCATAAAGCAAGTTCATTCAGTGAGGTAATTTCTTACTATGCTTGTTATAGTTGTCTTGAAGTTGAAAATTGCATCTGGGGCACATTTGAAAGCATATTTCTGGTCTCTCCCACAAGGAAACAGCCAAAGAAAAATACTTAAGCAGAGCATTGAGTGGCTGCCCTCTTAATGCTGAAAGAAAGGCACTGTCCCACTATTTCTATATCCCCATGAAATGTGGAAGGGCTGCACATCTGGGAGCCAAAAACTGGCATTCTCATGCCAGTTTTATCACTCTGCTGTGTTTTTCCAGGGACCTCCTTGGAGCAGCCCGTGCTTCAATTATCCACATGGTATTAGCAGAGAACATGAGTGCTGTGACATGCATCCGCAATAAATGTGACAGAGACCGTATCTGTCAATGCACACAGGTAGATCCATCAGATGCCTCATCACTGATTGGTTTCACGTAGTCCTTCATTCTGTAGACTTCTAGACTTCTTGGGTGGAGACGATGAAGAATGTTGCTCATCACAGCCGGGTGGTGGTTGTCTCACAGGGCTTTGGGTACCATGTCCCTTGAAAGGCTGAGCTGTTTCGGAGCAATCTAAATGGCTTTTCTCTGCAGAGTAAGGTGCAAATTCCCAGTTCTCCATAGCAGACAGGCATTGGGAGGACTGTGGATGTCATGAATCTATTCTGTGTGCAGACATCAGCTTCCTCGTGCTCATGAGAGGGCCCTGGAAGTCCTTGGGGAAGTCATTGACCCTCTCTCTGTTCCAGAAATGCAAATAGCTCCCGAGTCATGCCCCGGAGGAGGAGGCAGGTGCCCTGGTGTTAGAGCGGGCTGCTTTCCTCTAGACCTTGTAACACTTTTTCAATTATTGATCTCACTCAAAGAGAAGGACATGAGGAAGCAGTCACTTATTCCCACAGCTGAGAGAAGAAAGGGAGCATGTAATTGCTTGTGTTTCCAGCCCTGCCGGGCTGTAAGGTTTGTTGCTTGTATATTATGGAATTTGACTTCACTGATGGTGTAACCACAGGCTAATTACTGCAAACTTGTGGTTGCACAGGGAAAAGCAAGGTAGGCGAGCTTACTCCTCAAAAGAAGTAGTGACTGTGGTACCCCCCACGTTGTCTTCTATCTCGTGCACTGGGAAGGGCTTTACGGCTGACCATCCCTGCTGGAGACAGAGATGGGGTGCAGCTGGATTTGTGCTTTTGTCCGTAGAGTGTGCGGCAGTGCGTGGTACCGGTGTGACCCCAGCAACTGCGAGCCATCGGAGAGTCCCCAGCTGTGTCCCTGCTCCAAGCACCATGAGGCGGGGAAGTGTGGGGTGGCAGCCTGGGCAGTTCTTGAGTAGGGGAATCACCTGGGAAGCTGGAGACCCACCTGGCATTTCTGCCAGGGCAATCACAGCTCCTGCTGCCCAAGGACCTGTCCTGCAAAAAGGAAGGCAGGACCCAAGTCCTCTCCACTGGACCCTCTGAGCTTGCAGCTTCACTGAGCACAATTGCTGAGAAAAATCAGAATTTCTGCCTAAAGTTACTTGGATTTGCTTTTATTGCTTTACCACCTGGGATGAACATGTTTCATGGATCTTGATTTTAAATTAGAGCTTGAGACAGAAGTCCTACTTCAGGACTGGCATCCAGGACAAGATAAAGCAGAAACATTTACACTGGGAGCATGGGAAGTGATTTAAATCTGAATGCTACTTGAACATAGAAAGCCAACTGTTAGCTCGCAGATACAAAGAAAAATGGCACTGTTAGCTTTAAATAATGTACATTTCCAAGATGTTGCCCAGCTGTTAATCATTAACCCTGTAGCAGGTTGAAGCATGGAGACAGATGTTCCAAAGCAGTTTTATTTTCTGAAATAAAGAGAATGAAGCTATGAATTAGACAAATTAAGAAGAAATTCAAATATTTACACCCAGTTGAAACAAGATGCTGGAAAAACAGGCATGATAAAATTGCTGCAATTAAATGTAATTTAATTTATAATTCTGAAAGCATGCTTCTTCCAAAGGCAGCCTTTGAGTTTTCCTTATGGACTGCATTGTTTTGATGTATGGATTTTCCTGACTTATTATGGCATTTTAATCAACAGTTCAATGATGTGATAATATTCCTAAAGCAGAAAAATAAGTGACGTTTGTTTAGACATAATTAATGAAATATTTATGTTGCATGAGGCTGTGTGATAAAGCCTTGTTCTCTTAGTCCATTTGCTTCTGATTACATTTGTGATTTTTTTATATGACCAGACATTCTGACGCCAACTATTTTACACTGAGCAGATGTCATGTAGTAAAAATGGGTGCCAGATGCTACAAGCCACATAAGGGTAATTTGTTTAAGAGCTGGCTCAGACTTTTTGCATTCAATTACACTGTATAGTGAGCCTTATACAATCATTTGGGTAATATGGCTAACTTCAGATACACATTTTAATGAATGTTGAGTGCATTCAGAACAGCATGCTACGTGCAGGGTGCTCAAGGAATTAATTTACTTGTACGCAGTACCTGAAAAAAATCAAATATGCTCAGAGTTTTTGACAGGGTTCAAAAATTTAATTAATGCCATCAGCCAAATTTCCAAATTGCTCTAGGTGCTGCTGATTAGAACTCAGGGCAGGTGCAAAGTGTCTGTGTAAGTTAACAGTATTTTTTGCTGCACTGACTATTTTGTTCCTGCATTTTAGAATGTGAACACCTACCTGTCAGAAAACAAGCTACCGAGTATTCTACTTCTTCCTCCGACGATGACTTTGAATCCAAGCCTTTCTCAACACACAAGGTAACCTTGACTTGGAAACAGAAAGATATTTCCTTGGTTGAACTGTATTTAAGATTTATCATACGACTTTGATCTAAAACACACCGCAATTTCTCAGTGGGGATGGGAACGCTTTATAAGTGGAGTTTACGTGTCATGGAGAGAAAAATGGATTAAAACTCTTTAAGACAGATGAAAATCAGAATTTCTGTTTCCTCTTCGGATCTTTCATTCTGCCAGGTTACACCAGCGTTGACAAAGAAGGTCTTAATTTGACAAGCAGACATGTTTAACTGAAACCACTTTGAAGCTGCGTTCTTAAGTGGCCTTAATATGTAGCCCAACAAGCAAACTATTGAAAAAATTAAACCAAACAGATGCAGATTTCCCTCGGGGAAATACAACTTCATTTGAGAGGCGCTTCAGGCAGGTTGCCTGGAAGATGCTGCATTATCCTAATCAGCACGACCACGCGAGCCACGCAGTTGCACCCAGACCCTCTATGCCGAAAGAGCTGGCTGCTTGCCGGGGTCATGGAGCCCTAACTTGGTTCCTGTGGCTAGCAGAAGCGGTGGGGTTAGAGCACCAGTGAACTCTTAATACCCAGCTCTAATCTGAAGAAACGGAGCTTTTATTGCCTGCATAGCTCACCAGAAACACGTCTACCTCTTTCCTGTGGAGGGAATATCAGTAAGTGGGATTAACAGTATGAGGTGGCCTTTTTATTTGTTGTCTTTGACGGGGGTGAGGGGGAAGGAAAGCAAAGCAAAAGGCTACTGAAAAAACAGCCAAGCTGAAAGCTAAGTGGAGCTTTGAATGGAAACCCAGTTGCACAGCTCCAGAGGAACTGACATGCCACGAGGCAGAGGCAGAGCGATGTGCGGTGGCACATCCTGCCAGTGTCTGTGTCGGGATGCGCTGAGAAGTCAGAATTCATCACTCATCTTTCCTGTTACAGGAAAGACAAGCTATAGTAAGATAACATGATGAATTCATTGAAGTTTCAACAAAATAGAGAAAAAGATGGGAGACATGGGAGAAAACTGGATAGGAGCAAGTGTCAGCAGCTGCGGCAGCCGCAGGGACGGGCAGGAGCGGGCAGCAGGGGAGGCAGTGCTGCTGAGGCAGCTGCCAGGAACGGGGTGAATAAATGGCTGCTACGCACCAGCATTTGTGGTGACTCAGTTTTGATGCACATTCCCCACTCAGCTTGTTCCTCTCGACTGCCTCCTAGCACCTCTTTCCATGCCAGTTCTGGCTGCTATTTTGCCAGTACCACCATTTTTCTCTGGCAAATCTTGGTGGGAAAAATTGCAGCGGCTTCCTGTCTTGTTAGTTTTTAATCGTCTTGTCTCCAGTGCTCGTGTGTTCTGTTTCCTCCAAAATGGGAAAACTGCAGCCCTGAAGCACTTCTAGATAGCTTGGGTCAAGGGGAAGACAGAAGCCGCGTGGGCAATGCCCTTGGCTGGCCCTGCAGCACGTGCTGTCCTGCTTCCCAGCAGCAGCGACAGATGCTCCAGGGAAAGGCAAAAAACCTCTCTAATCTCTGTAATGCAGCAGAGAAATGGCATCAGGTGAAGGTTTCATAGGGTTTCAGGTAGTGTCCTGTGATGGCTGTTTCTTTTGGATATGTCCCTCTTACTGTGTTACAAGCAATCCAAAGTGAATTTTACTATTTAGCAGCTGCAGCAGTAGAAATAGGTTGAGTTTCCTTAATCTGGTGCTTCCCCTCACCTGTGCCTGGCTTCTTCCTTGATTGCTGTGATGCCTGCATAGTGGTATTTTGCATATAGTCAACTTTGTTATTCAGACGTTTTTTATTGATACAGTTTACACCGACTTAGAGTTGCAATAAGAGCTTGTAATGTTTCAAAGTCAATGTAAGCAAACCCATAAAGATATTCCTACATGAATATTTCCCTTTCAGTTAGGTTGCCTGAAGCACACTGCAGTAGCCCATGTTGCTTTGAGCAGTGGAGTCGGGTTAGACGGTCTCCAGAGGCCTCTCTTGACCTCAATAGTTCTGTGATTCTGGGGAAGGTTTGAGGAAAGCTGCTATGGTATACTTATGCTTTCATTGCCTTTTTTTTTTATTCTCTCTCTTTTGTAGGCAAAAAGGACTCTCAGAAGAAGAAGGAAGCTGGAGAAGGAGACAAAGCAATTGATGAAACAAGAGGAGCTGAAGAGGCTTCACAAAGCACAGGTGAAAACGTAGCTGGTAGATGTCCCATTTGTCTCCCAAGAGAGACTAGCGAGAACGAGGGCGATCCAGTGTGGGCTCTGCACCTCCCCTCACTCCTCACTACAGCTCACTGACTTCTGCTTCGAAGTGCCCCCAAACCATCAGGAGGAGTAAGATGTGTGTGGCGGGGCCTTGCATCTCTGTACGTGACAAATTCACATCTGCCCTAGGAGATCGTCATCATTTTGTAATTGTGTGGGGAGATCAAGAGGGATAGTGACTGGCAATAAGAAGAATATACTGAAGAGGGAAAGAGATAGAAAGAGGAAATAATATCCGCCCCTGAGAACGTAAGAAACTCAGCTGTTACCCCTGTGTACTACAGGAGGGTACAAAAATACAGTAATGGATTTTGGTTTTGGATTTTTGTTTTTTTGTATATACAGATATTTATACACAAACGCAAAAAACTTTATGGCTTATGTGACCATTAGCACTTTTTGTCTAGACAAACCTGAGCTAGATTTAATCTCATTAATTCAGATTATAATGGTAATCAAGATATGGTAGTGGGGAGAGCAGGCTTTTTGAAGGCTAAGTTGTCCATCGTCTTCTGTTGTATTACTCTAGCAGGTGGATAGTTTCGCATGGAGCTTCCAAGTGCTATTTCTGTACCAATATTAAATTAAAAAAGAAAACTAATAAGTTGTTTTTCAGATGCGAATCTGAAATCTGTTTTTGTAGACATCATTGCTTTTGCAAAATGTGTAACTGAAAAGGAGAGAAATCTTGTGTTTGAACCAGACAATGGATTTTAGAAAATGTAGATACTATTTAGCCTTTACTGTAAAATCCGTGACAGAATAAAAACCACAGGAAAGAATATTATCTTCTGTAATCCAAAGTAAGAGCAACTACGTTACAGTTTTTATCTGAGAATTTTAAATTATCTCAAGGTAAAATTAGATGCATATATGCCTTCTCTTACTTTACAGCTTTGTGGAAATAATCAAGTTCAAATTTTTTGAACTATCTTTTATGTTTGTTAGGCTGTTCCTGAGGACTTGGCTTGACAAGTCCTAACACAACCTGAAATGGGAACTGCTGAGCATCTCTCTTTGGCAATTCAACCTTTTAAGGTGTTTAATGCCTATTATCCATGTGGCACCTCTGAAAATCTTATTTAAAAGGAGGTGGACCAGCGCACATAGAGTCCTTCCTGAAGTGCCACTCAATTATCACTTCTTAGCTATTAAACTCTTTCCTCCCTGTGCCAAAAGCTTGTGAAATATAAAAGCAATACAAACAACAAAGCCCCATGGACAACAAAACAGCTAGAAGAGCTTTCTAGCTGTAAACTTTCAATATTTGAGTTTCATTCATGTAGCATCTCAGAACATGTGCCTCTGAATGTGTAAGGTATCGACAGGTCACACTTTGTGAGACACAGAAAAGTTATGATCTCTGTTTCACAACAGGAGAGCTGAAGTTCAGAAAAAACGAGGTTCTTTTAGTACCTACGATACATACTCACATAAAAATGTGGATAGATACCTAGTGGAATTATTAAATTGCTTCAGCGCCTAATATGCTCAATGAGTTTGCAAATCCCATAACTCCTCCGAGACCTTTTCAAGCTGTTTCTCTAACCACGGAGACCATCTTTCGTCTCTGAATTTTTAAGCTATGTCTGTGGTTTTTATATCATTACCATTTTGCAGGCAGTCCAGCGCCAACTAGAAGAAGTGGAGGAAAGACAAAGAGCTCTGGAGATTTTTGGTGTCAAACTGGAGAGAGAACTAAGAGGAGAATCGGGTAAATGAACCAGTGTCTGTGTTTGTTTTTTTTTATTTAACATTTTTCAAAGCAGAGGGGTATTAATGTTTGTCATAGAAAATAGAGTTCAGTGCAAAATCTGAAATGAAAGAAAAACTGGAAGGACAAAATCCTTGTTCACCCTTTTGCTCAAACTGTGTTAAGTCGAATACCTTTACATTGAATGCTATAAATTTTCTCTTGGTTATTACAGATTTGGCATTACTTGCCATGCTATTGAATCTGAATATACATTCCCCACTCACCCCCCCCATTTTAAAAAACGCTATTCTGAGCTTAATTTTGTCTTCTGGAGGGAACCATTGAGGTTTCCAGCAGCTGATCTCAGTTACCAAGCCAGCAGCAGCCCGTGCCTAGTAACAGAGTCCTTAATGACTTCTCCCAGAGTGTGAAATGCCATTAATACGATTAGAGCTGATGGTCATGCTGTAACAACAGCAGCATGCAGGCACATGGACCCGTACTGCACAGTTTTTCCCCCAAAGGGTGGAAGGTAACAGGAATGTTGTCCTGGTGCTGGTCAGAGGCAAGGTTTTCACTCACCTGAACTGACAGTCCCAAGCCCCCAGGTCTGCAGCATCCTCCCACCAGCCCAGCCCTGCCACCCCTCCCCAGCACTCATGGGGAGAAGCTAGGGAGACCTCCTGCGGAGGGATGGGACATCTGGGGGCTCCTGCCAGGCTCAAAATGGGAATGAGAGCATGAGTGATGCATGTAAGGGACTTCAGAGGGGGCTGCGGTTCTGTGCTGAAAGGGCCCCAGGGACCCAACAGCCCGACTGCAAACGTGGCTTTATTTACTTCTGTTTTGGAAAGCTGAGCCTCGTGCTTTCACGAGAGGCAGTTTCACAACACTGTAAATCTAGATACGTTTTGGCATCTGATCTTCTTGTTGTCTTAGCTAGGCAACCCGGCACAATCTCTATGTGCCGGCTTTTTTAATGCCGTATTTCTTAGCAGTTATTGCCCTATTCTAACACTGAACTAATCAGTTCAGTAAGAGAGCATTTGACCAGCCTTTCATATTTATTAACTAGTTCCTAGAATTGATAGTGCCAACCCATTTCAAAAGTTATTTAAAAGGCTAGCATCTTTTTCTTTTTTTTCTTAAATGAAAACATGGTACCCACCTTACACCACCTGTAAGAAAGTCTGCTAAGAAGACTGAGGATTTAGTGTTACCTTTTTTCTTTGCTGCTGATTTGTGTAAGTGTGGATGTTTTTTTGGAAACGACAAAAATATAGAAGGACAAGAGGCTTCTAGCTTTTGGGATAGACACCGAATACCAAGATAAATGGCGTACAGCCACCTCTTGTTTTTGCTGGTTTGACAATCGCATTTCCTAAAGAAGGCTGTCTGCCAACAGATTGATGCTTCTCATTCTCTTCCCATCCTTAGTAATTGGATTGCCCTCATTAAGGTGAAAGTACTATTTTTTCTCCCTGTTGATTATTTGCGTGTAGGTGGCCAGTTACAAATAGGGCAGATACTGAAATGTAGGATGTTACTGTGTCTCAATAACTCTTCTGGTGCAAAAGCATGAAGCTGTAATTTTCTCAAACAAAATGTGAGTGCTTTATTGCTTGTAATAACATAAGTGTAACGGTGCAGGAATTGGTGACTTTAATATTCCGTTCAACCTTCTTAAAAATAATGGGCACTATTGTTTAATGAATGCCCAGGGTTTATTAGGTTAAGTTGTATTTAAGCAGGTCTGCGCTTATGCAATTCGAGTGATTTAATAGGTATTATTAAGGTAATTAGAAAACGATCACACTTTAGCAATAATATTGAGCTGCAAAGGTTGTGAATAACCAAATTTAGAGACAGGCCTGCAAACACTAGTCTTCAGTGACATTTACGCAACTCTCCTCTAATAATTCTGTAAGCCTGGGATGAATGGCCCCTTTGTTAGGGGGAGTTATTCATTAGCTCCTCAACTGAATTAGAAGAGAACATGCGTGGGTGCGAAACAACTGCCATGAAGACCGATGAGCAAAATGAGGCTTTAATGATCTTCTAATTGTAGTGACAACAATTCATGCATTTAAAAAAAAAAATAATATCAGTTCTATGAATAATTTTTCATGCCCTTTATTCTAAATACCAAATAACAAATCACTGATGTACCGTCACTTTGTTTTCCATTGACATTTGTGGAGGCTTATGGAGATCTTCTGCCTACAAGAAAATACAGAAATACAAATCTTGAAACATGTTTTCCACGGAAATTTGCATAACCAATCATGAAGAATGACGGTAAAGAAGAAAATCTGTGTTGAGAGAATATTAAGAAATCTCTCCCTGTTTTAGAAGGTGAACAAATATCTGCACACATTGCAGTTAGTTTTTCACTTCATAAGAAGCATATCCAAGGCTTCTCAGAACTTTCAACAGAGTCGAAAGTGATCAGTTGTAAACATATAGGAATAAGGAATGTGAAGTTTAGCTGTTCCTAAAAGGGCACAAACTTGCTGAGCCCCCTTTGTTGTGTGACTGCTGTATGAAGGGACAGAGTAGCATCACTCTGGAGAACAGAAGGTTGAGATTTTGAGAACAGTGTTAAGTAAATGCTCCTCTACAGCCTGTCCTTCCCCCGAAAGTGATGAATATAGAAATAGTCGTGATGTAATTAGAAGAATATCTGACTTTCAAATGGGATTCAGGTTAAAGGACACTTGGGTAAACCAAAAGGAAAGTTTTGCTTTAGCAATTCTGTAAGAAACGCCACCGTGGCTCACAAAATAAACTCAGAAATTGTTTTCCCTCTAACCTTTAAAAAGATCTGTCACACTGTATTTACACAAAAATCTTCCTTGGCTTGTTCTGCTCTTGGAAGGCATAAAGCACTCCGTCAGACTTAAGTAACTCTTAATGTTATTATTAACAAACATTTGAAAAGCTCAGAGAAAAAAATGCTCCTGGGGACACTTGGGGGTGCATTCTGTGGGATGGAAAAGGAGGAAAAACAAAGGCTGTTTTTATTTCAGCTTGCGCTGAGGATTTTGCTAAAATGACCGGCATTTTTGTATAGTGTGTTACTGTTTGCTTACCTCAATCAACCTATGATACATCATCTTTTATTAGAGATGTAGAGATTCTAAAGTGTAAAGAGGAAACGTTAAAAAGAATATTTTTGCCAAATCAAGAGAACAGCAAACAAGCAATAGTAACCCTCTGTATGTGTGCAGGACATACACCTACCTGCAATAGCTGTGTTTTACTGTCGGTAAGATGGATCAAATTTTGATGATAACTTCTTATGGTGGCATATGAAGGCCTGAGGCTCTGAATACTAATGCTGCATCCCTGCATTGGACTGTGAGATGTTACCATTGACACATCCCAGCGAGGACTGTTCCTGCAGTCACTCTGACAAGACTTTTTTTCTTATCACTGCATGCTGACCTGGAAGATCCCACAGGAATACATCTGTTACTGCCAAGTTTTGATGGAATCGGGCAGAAATTGGACCAAGATTTCTTTGCCCTCTCCTACTGCTTTATCCTCCTATGCCTGAGTCCCCATCCCTGGATGTGTTTAAGAATAGGGTGGATGATCTACTTAGGGATATGGTTTAATGGGGATTAGGGACGGTTGGACTCGATGATCTCTGAGGTCTTTTCCAACCTAGAAATCTATGAAATCTATCCCAAACACCCATCAATTTCCCTCCTGCTTGGGAATATTGCTAAGGGCTGTGTTGGGCAAGACCAGTACTGCCTGCAGGAGATGGGCTGTAAACTGCTGTTCTTGAATGGAGTCAAATCCACTTTGATGAAGCAGTAGAGGCAAGAGGGTAATTCTTGGGACCAAGGTCTGAGTGTATTTCAAAATGACGACAGAAAAGCATCCGAAATGCTGCTGAGCTGTCCAGGACTCTGGCTGTCTCTCCACTTGCTAACCTAGTTTAATGAGACTCCTGTAATTGTCATCTCTGGAGCTTGAACCTGAAACCTTTGGGCTTAAATTTCAGTGTGCTCAATGATCTGAAAAATGATGCAGTCCTCTATAAGCAGGAAAAAAATCACGGAAGTCTCCATCCACAGAAAGTAACCAGGTGGGTTGATGGGGATTTTATGCTTGGTTGTCTAGCAGCGTGATGTAAGGACTGAGGAGGAGAAAGCTGTGCTCTGCTGCATGCTGGTGGCCCCTCCTCTTGCTCCATCCCTGACTGTCCCTGCCTCCAACACACGGTGGCAGGACCACGGGATGGCTGCTGGTTTCATGCTTCTGAAGGGCTCAGCGAGTCACCTAAATTGCTGTCTCAACCTAGAAAAGTGTAAGACATTTGCTTCCTACAAGTGATGGTTATTTTGTGGTGATAGATGACAGGCAGGCAGAGCGGATGTGGTGGGAGGTGTGTTTGCCGTGCCAGCGCTGCAGCTGAAATTCTCCATCGAAGGGTGGTGGGGTGGTTTTGTTTCATGAAGAAAATGAATGGAAAATGTAAAATGATGAGCATGTTAGAAAGGACAGGGAGGAAAATACATACATATGCCTCTGACTTGCCACTTGAAAACACCCAGGAGTTCTTCATTGCCAAATATTCTTGCACAGACGGCATTTTAGGGACAGTAAAGGTGAAAGAGGACTCCATCCTCATCTTTAGCAAGACAAGGTCAAGCTGTGAGCTTTTTGGGAGACAGGCCATCTCTTGTGACATGTCTGTATAGTGCCAACCAGTGATGCTCTGGCACCCAAGTGTTACAGAACCACCCAGTAATTTCTCCTGTCCTCCAGCCTTTCCCATCATTCAAAGCTGATGCAGATTTAGAGGCCAGTTGGCAAGTGAATGGAAATCTGTAGAGGATTTGATTGTGCGTCTGATACCCACTGGAAGCAGGAACTATGTTGATAGTTGCCAGCATATACATCCTGAAGTCTGATTATGTTAATGGGATATCCATTTATACATATAGTTCAACTGCTAGAGTCTGGTATCAACAAAGAGACTGTTATCAAAGGCAGAACTAAGGGAACGTAAAAGTGCCCATTATAAAAAGAAAGACTATATAATAATTCAAAAGAAAAAAAAACAAAACCTAACTTTGAAAACAACAGTGGTTTTAAATCTAATGCATCTTCAACTGCGATAAACTACAAATGAGGACTACTTACAGTGAACTTAAGGGGTAAGAGCACTGGAAGGAAAGCCAGTAATGCACACGTAACCCTCCTATTTTAAACAGATTCAGGCACACAGGATGAAACTCAGATGCTACACGAATGGTTTGAGCTGGTCCTGGAGAAGAATAAATTAATGCGTTATGAGTCTGAGCTTCTGATCATGTAAGTAAGGACAAGCGTTAGTACTAAGATGGGGAGGGGGAAAGTGTACTCGCATTATATCTGAACGCCTTGCTGCGTGCTGCAGTTTGAAACTGTTGTGAAATAAACATACCTAGAGTAGCTACGATCTGTTTTGAACACAGATTTCCAGTTGAGGCCTTCTCATCCTTCCCTCTCACAGTGCTTCAATTATTTCACTTATATACGGTACTCTAAACTGATACAGCATATGAATGCTCTGCCTTTATGTAACATGGGTCTAATGAACACTAGGACACTTTCTCCTGTGGAAGAAAAATAGTCTGACAAGTTTATTTCAGGTTTTATTTGACATAGGAGAAAAGATCTAAGAATTCACTACAGCGATGAAACAAGCAGATACACCAAGCAAATAAAAACTGTCTCAGTTACCACTGTAGTTGATGGAAACAATATTGACTGTAGCTCCCTCACCTCGCCTCCTTGGAAAGGCACTCACCAGATAGGTGGAGGTGACTCTCAGCTATTTTCTCCGCTATTTCTGGGCAATGTGAGAAGACGATGAGAGCTGCAGCAGTCATTCCTCACCCCTGGATTTCACCCCAGTGCAGGCTGCTCATTGCTATTTATCATTTCCATAGCGCTCAGTCAGCCCCTCGTGCTGGGTGTGGACCTGCGGCCCAGCTCCAGCTGCACCCCAATTTCTCCCCAGCTGTGCTGATGCTGCCGTGGGCCAATCATTTCTCTCCCCTTCAATTGTCGTTGGGTGTTGTGGTAGCAATGCTTTCTGTTCACATTGTCCACAAAGCAGACTTAAAACAGCAAAAGCAGACTGCTTTTATCACTGCAGGACACAAAATGTCATTGTCTGGATTTGTTCATGTGTGTTAATTCCCTTGCCTGAGGACCCATTTCTGTGCAGAGAGCCTGGCAGGGCCCTTCGTGTATGGGAGCCTTCAGTCCTATCCAGAATTACGTTGTGGGTGCTGCCAAAAATGACGGCTGGTTAAAGCCTTAAGTGTTGTGATATATGAGGGAGATTATCTGACACATAATGCAAAAGGTGGTGGTGGTACTTGTGGCATTGCTGTGGCAGTGCAGGAACAGGTAAAGCTCTTAACCCTGACTGCCCATGAGGAGTAAATACTAGATAAACAGAACACAGAATGTCGTGGTTGAAATGATATCAACATATATGGCTTTATTGAAAAAAGCTTATGCTTCAACGTACTTTTTGTTGTACGTAGAGCCCAAGAGCTAGAATTGGAGGACCACCAAAGCAGGTTGGAACAAAAGCTGAGAGAGAAAATGGCCATTGATGGTAAGTCTAAGGGGAGAGTATGCTGCAGCCCACAGTGATAGACCACGCCTGCGTGCGTCCCTGCTTGCTCCAAAAAGCACCAGAGTGGCCGAGGCTCTTCCTCCTGTGCTCTTCTGCAAGTGCAGCTCAGCCAGCAAAACACAACCAGTGAGCTCTTCTCATCTGACTTCTAGTGAAGGCAGCTGAGCTAACCTGCCCAGTTTTACATTGAACTGGATCAGAAGCACTTGCACGTGTAATTCCATTAATTGTGCTGTGCAGGCAGCAGCATCCAGCTAGCATGGGATGATGGGCAGCAACAGAAAGTAGTTTCCTCAACCACTCAAACACAGAAGAGGTTCTCTGCTTTTATGTTAACTGTAACATTACCGGTTACTGCAGTATTTTGGAACTGCTTTTAGGTACTTGGGATTACTGTTTGGGCTTGTCCTTTCATTTGGTATTAGAAGAGAGAGAGTGGGGAGGAGGAATGCAGGGATAAGGAGGGGGTTACATAGCACTGAGCACCCCAAAATATCCTGTTGCGTTCTAAGCATGTGGATTGCAAGTGATGGCAGTTTTCAATATATCTTCTGAAAAACACTTCCCATTTTCTTACAGGTTCTACGTTTCACAGTTGGTCTTTTTACCTTGTATATACTAAATTTAAACCCCATCTTAAATAAGTAGCGCTCTTCCTACCACTTCCTTAGTCTAAGTTTTGCTAAAAGATCTACTAGGAGCCTTAACGGTCAACCTTAAATGGCCTAAATGCAGCCTAAATGCAGAGAAATTTCCCCTGAATTGTAACATGAAAAGTATCAACTGCTATTGACTTAATTTGTCATTGAGTGTAATATTAATTCAAGCTGTACACCAACAGTTTAAATGCAAAGCATAACACCAGAATGATCTGGATTTTAACCTCTTGTTTGTGATCTTTTAGACAGCCTTAAAGATGAGATGGATCTGAATGAGGAGGATGAAATTTTTACTGAGATGATGAAAGTGGTTGAAGAAAGGGACAAACTCGTGTCTACCTTAGAGGAGCAGAGAGTCAAAGAAAAAGCAGAAGACCAGCACTTTGAAAGTATTATATTATCTAGAGGCTATCAGATGAGCAGGATTTAAACAGCCACATGCAAATAAACATGATTTCAGCAAGATTTGCAATCATGGAGTTACAGTCTTCTGAAAAATGAAGGAATTCAAATTTAAAATCAGTTTCTTTGGGAAACATGTTAGTTTTTTATCAAAAGCTCTTAAGCGGCTCTTTTGCTCATACTGAAGTGAGTTATTTCACTATCAGCTCAAAGGATCACCAGAATACACAATAGGACTGAATTTACCTGTCTGATGGACATCAGGGTCTGTGAAAGGGAAATCAGAGCTCCGTTGTTTTCCTGGAATTTTATTTTAATGCTGAGAATAGAGTTCCAGAGAAACATGATGACATCATTTAGTATTTTTGAGATGGCATTACTTTCCATCTGTTTGTCTGAATCTGTATGTGGTTTTGTTAATATTTTGGCACAGCCAAGCCATGGTGAGCTATTTAAAGGTCAGAAAGCAAGCATCTCATAAAAAATAAGGTTATTTTTTATTTCTGGTGGAGGAAAGGTTGTTTGACTAATAACTACATATAAGCACTCATTAAAACTACTGTAAATGCAATGTCAGAAATTAATTTTGCAGATATTTGTAAGTTTTAGAGCACTGTGTATTTTTGAACAAGAAGCTAAAGCAATATTAAATCCTTACGTTTTGTAAAATGGTAAGGAATTATTAAAGGAGTGACTACCCTTAAGACTGTTACATGCTCAAAAAAGCTTTTGTATGTCACAGATTAAGTTCTTCTCTAAAAAATGCTAAATGGTAATATAAAAATAGTAATCCAGACTAACCACTTTACAATTGCTTGATAAAATACATCACAAACACACAGGGTGTGATGAGTGGTGTAGCAGTTAAAGATCTCTTTAAGAGTAATTCCTCCGAAGGGTTGCAAAAAATGTTGAGTTTGTAGTTTCAACGTTTGATAGAAGGTGTTGTGGGTATATTTAAACTACGTTTATCTTGCTGCTCAAGAATAAATATGCATATTTTTTTACCTAAAGGAACTATCTGCTATCTGTTTTGGTACATGCATTTGTAGATATTGGCAAAGCAGATGTGCAGAAATTCTCCTTAGTATTTGGTATAATTTAAGTACTTTCTTAAATCTGAGGTAATCCTGCAATTTAGGATTGGTAGTATTCCCAACTTTATGTATGATGCACTACGTTTTCAAATGAAAAAACGAGGAAAAAACCTGAAAGACTGTTTCTTATTTAAGTATCATTTTACCTCATGTTCTGAGAAATTTTGATGTTCTTGTTATTTCATGAATGGTGCTAATTTGCAGCAGTTGCCTATGGTACAGCCAAAGCTAGAAGCATTCCTATTACAAAAGCTTTAAACTAAAAAACCTCTTGGTAAGTACTTTTAGGGTAACAGACACACTGGATCCTGTCACAATAATTTATGAATGATCTTAAGTTTTTGCTGTATTGTAAGAAATTTAAAGTACCCTTTCTAAAAATAAAAGCGAGCTTTATTATTGACCACAGATAAAGAATATACCTCCATCGGTGCAAGGAATAGACCATTGTTCTGCAATATTTATGTATTTATATTTATTTATTAGACTGTTTAAAGAGGATAAGAGTGTCTGGTTACATTTTACAGTTTGGATGTTGTCTCTGATTTCAGTTGATAAATGTGTATTTCTAACAGCTATGTATAGGTAAAGCTGTGCATAGTAGAGTAGATAGCTTTATCAATTTGGTAAACAATTAGTAATAAAATATGAATTAAGATTTTTAAACAATGTTCTCAGTTACCGTAACTTGAAGGGATACCCTCGGAACATAGCATGTAGGGCTTTAAAAATATAATTTGGCTTTCATCGCAGTGAAAAGACATAGCAGAATCCTTGAATGTGTTCCAAAATTACCAGCAGACATTTTTTTTCCGTCATTCAACAGCTAAGTATACCTGATCTTCAGATACATTTTTATTGAGATGGATTGCAGTGACTGATTTTTAAACTAAGTACTACTTAAAATTGACATGAAGTAGGAGCAAGCAAGGCAAGCAGTAAATATTTTAATTTTCTCTGTTGAGGTCTGCTGGTATTTCCAGTTTTGTGGGGAAAATTTCTGGATTTTATCACTGTTCCCAGAAGCCTCATGTAATCCCGTAGAACAAGACTGTCTATAACATCTGTCACAGTTTTCTGTAGAAAACAGAGAGTTGTAATGCCTTCAAGGTATTTTTTAAAAAGTTTTAAAGCAAACTGCTTAGTTCTTTGCACAGGAGGGGAATTCAGCACAGAAACCTCCAGTTATATCAAAGATTGTTGCTTTTTTTTTTTTTTTCCATCTCACTTTTACAATCTAAAAAGTCCATTCACCTTAGCATTGCTGCCATACAAAGAGGAAGAGGAAGGGCAGCCTCTGAGAAATGTGACAGCCCTAGTCCTGAGGAGGAGATGGCTGTCCTCCACCAAAGCCCAGCCTGCTTGCCCAGGGAAGCTGCACTCAAAGCAGCCGGTCGCATTCAGATCGCTCTGAATTGTATGTAAGCCCTGAGATTTCCGTTTACAGCAGATGCCTGTTTGGCTATAAAACCAAACGTGAAAGGGTACTTTCATTTTAGCTCCATAGATTTGAGTTCTAGAGAATATTGGCGTCAACAGGAGCTGAGGGCCATCAGCGTTTTGTGGACCCCAAAAATATTCTTTGCTAAAAAGATACTTTTATGTAGTCGTAACACATGCTTCACCCAAAACTGTGTGTCCACTCTTGGTTGGAAAAACCTGTCAGGCTACTGTAACCCTGCCTGATATTAAGTACCTCACAAGATTAGATCCAAAAACAAACTGTGCAAGTGATTTAGAAAAATAATAAACTCTTAAGTCACTTAAAGCAGGTTTTCATATATTGTGAGAGAAAAGAAAGAGAGGGGGGAAAAAAAAGAGAAACTATGTGCACTGTTCACAGGTCAATTTAATATGGTTGGCTTGTATTAGAAATGTATTTAAACATTGGTTTGGTTACGAGTCTTCTTGCTGCTCAATCTTTTCTGTAAATTGGCTCACTAACTTGTAATAGATTTGTTCATTTTTAAGTCCTTGGCGCTGTCATTGTTGGGTATAATGCGATGTGCTGGAACATATTGACTATGTCTAAATGGACTATATGTGAGCAATTTTCTATTTGAGAAAATAAAATTGTATCTCACTCTCTGAAGTCCCTGAGTCATTTCCATAGCAATTTCTCTCCACCGATATCTACAATGTAATAATGTGTGTCTGGGAAAGATCTATAGGTAAGAAATTATATCAGTTTCTTACTTCATATACTGGTAAGTAAATGATATTGTTTGCAGTTCACAGACTCATTTTATAGTTTAGAAATAATGGCATCTTGAAGTTAGGGGGCATTTGATTCTACCTTTAACACGAGAGGTTGCAAACTTCATGAGATCAACAACTTCCTCACGTTCTCACTTAGGAATTCACCACCTAATTTCCTTAGGCATGACATGCAAATTATAGCAGCTCCTTGAAGACTTGAAGTCACTTGAAGTGATCCATCCACTGCATGGATTGCTAAGCACTGGTGATCAAAACCTTAATTATAATTTTTCAGATTCCACTATCTTTACCTCTATTAGGTTGTCTTGTTTCTTTCTACCAGTGGGAAAGCCTTACAGAGCAAGACAGCATGCTGCTCGAGATGAGAAGTGGATAAGCAGGATTTGGGCTTATGTTGGTGCCTGCACCATTGTCTCCT